GAATAGGCAGAACACCAAAACAAACAAACAAAACAAAACAAATCTTGAACATAAAAAATAAATAAATAAAAGCAGAGCATGGAAATAAACAAAGTTCTCAAAAGATTAGATACAGATGCCAGCAAAACATTTTTTTTTAACTAATTAGCTACTTTAGCTATCAGGGAAACTCAAATTAAAACTATTTTGCTATTTTATTGTACTCCATTCAGAATGGTTAAGATCAAAATACAAGCAGCATCAGATGGCATGGATGTGAGAATACTTATTCACTGATAGTTGGAGTTCAAACTGGCAATATCCCTGGAAATCAGTGAGGACATTTCTCAAACATCTGGAAACTGACCTACCACAAGATGCATTTATAAGACTCTTAGGCATACTCCCAAAGAACACTACTTTTTACTACAGAGACACTTGCTCTTCCATGTTCATTACTATTTTATTCACCATGACTAGGAAATGGAAGGAGCCCAGATGTCCATCAGATGGTGAATAGATAATTAAAATATGTCACACTTAAAAAACAAAATATCTACTAAAAAAATCATGAAATTTGCAGGTAAAATGGGTGAATTTAGAAACAATCACTCTGAGCTGGGCAGTGGTGGTACACCCCTTTAATCCCAGCCCTCAGGAGGCAGAGACAAGCAGATTTCTGTGAGTTCAAGACCAGCCTGGTCTAAAGAGCAAGTTCCAAGCTAGCCAGAGCTACACAGAGAAACCCTGCCCTGATAAAGTAAAAACAGAAATCATTCTGAGTGAGGTAAAAGAAATACATGTTTCTGTAATTTAAGATGTTAGCTTTGGATAATCAGACATTTGTGCTGCATTTTGAATACCCATGGAAGTCACGAAATTACCAAGGGGCTATTGGGGAAGTAACAGAACTGAAACACAGTTGTAAAAGAGTTTAAAGGGGGAATAATGAAACAAGAAGGATTAAATTAGGGTGGGAAATGGGAAGTCAGGCTAAAGAAGGAAATATGGGGATGAATAGCTAGCACTGAAGGCCTTTTTAAAAAGCCAAATGGAGCCGGGCGTTGGTGGCGCACGCCTTTAATCCCAGCACTCGGGAGGCAGAGCCAGGCGGATCTCTGTGAG